GGTGCGTGCATATGTATTCACCCCCTTTGCTATGAAGCCCCTAAATAAGATCTGGTGCAACCAATTACCTTCAGAAGTCACATAATTAGTTAAATAAAGTCCACCTGTGCAGTGTTGCCAACTCCTCAGTAAGGAAAGTAGCTATTGGCTGTCCTAAAAGTCGCTAAATGACATCATCACCTAATTTGCATAATTGGCCATGCGCATGTAATTGTGATGGACGCTGTAGGAGAGAGGAATAACGTTGTGGGAGAGACAAAAAGTGAGTAAAAACATCTCCTGCTCTGACTGCAGCTGGGAGGGACCTCTGCGCGAGGACTGGGCCGCTTGTGAGTGCTTTGGGACGGGGGTGGGGCCCGCGGCAGCAACCGCTGCTCGTCGAGAAGAGTAAGAACGATACGTGCTTTCACGTCAGAGTCTCCAAAAGTCTCCAATAACACCAGAAAAAGTCGCTAGATTTGTCGCTAGTCGCTTTTTTGAAAATGTGTCGCTAGAGGGGTCTGAAAACTCGTTAAATATAGCGACAACGTCGCTAAATTGGCAACACTGCACCTGTGTGCAATATAAGTGTCACATGATCTGTCACATGATCTCAGTGTATATATACGCCTGTTCTGAAAGGCCCCAGAGTCTGCAACACCACTAAGCAAGGGGCACCACCAAGCAAGCGGCACCATGAAGACCAAGGAGCTCTCCAAACAGGTCAGGGACAAAGTTGTGGAGAAGTACAGATCAGGGTTGGGTTATAAAAAAATATTTGAAACGTTTAACATCCCACGGAGCACAATTAAATCCATTATTAAAAAATGTAAAGAATATGGCACCACAACAAACCTGCCAAGAGAGGGCCGCCCACCAAAACTCACAGACCAGGCAAGGAGGGCATTAATCAGAGAGGCAACAAAGAGACCAAAGACAACCCTGAAGGAGCTGCAAAGCTCCACAGCGGAGATTGGAGTATCTGTCCATAGGACCACTTTAAGCCGTACACTCCACAGAGCTGGGCTTTAAGCCATAGCTTAAAGAAAAAATAAGCGAACACATTTGGTGTTCGCCAAACATATGGAAGAAGGTACTCAGTCAGATGAGACAAAAATTTAGCTTCTTGGCCATCAAGGAAAAAGGTATGTCTGGTGCAAACCCAACACCTCTCATCACCCCGAGAACACCATCCCCAGCATGGCAGTGGCAGCATCATGCTGTGGGGATGTTTTTCACTGGGAAACTGGTCAGAATTGAAGGAATGATGGATGGCACCTTCCAGCAGGACAATGACCCTAAGCATACTGCTAAAGCAACACTCGAGTGGTTTAAGGGGAAACATTTAAATGTCTTGGAATGGCCTAGTCAAACCCCAGACCTCAATCCAATTGAGAATATGTGGTATGACTTAAAGATTGCTGTACACCAGTGGAACCCATCCAACTTGAAGGAGCTGGAGCAGTTTTGCCTTGAAGAATGGGCAAAAATCCCAGTGGCTAGATGTGCCAAGCTTATAGAGACATACCCCAAGAGACTTGCAGCTGTAATTGCTGCAAAAGGTGGCTCTACAAAGTATTGACTTTGGGGAGGGGGGGGGGGGGGGTGAATAGTTATACACGCTCATGTTTTTTTGTCTTATTTCTTGTTCGTTTCAAAATAAAAAAATATTTTGCATCTTCAAAGTGGTATGCATGTTGTGTAAATCAAATGATACAAACCCCCAAAAATCCATTTTAATTCCAGGTTGTAAGGCAACAAAATAGGAAAAATGCCAAGGGGGGTGAATACTTTCACAGGCCACTGTAGATAGAGCCCAAGGCAGATGGAAACAGAGAGACGGGTCTCCCAGAGCTTCAGAAATCACTACAAAGACAGGCCTCCGCTGCGCTACGTCACATGCAGCCCCTCTCCCAGATCACGGCATCCCTGTAGAGGAGAGTCCCCAGCCAAGGCCAGAGGAAGCTGGGTACGGCAGTTGGACTCCACCCCACGCCATCACCACAGCAGCATAGCACACTGCACCCAGAGACGGCCCAGCTGAACCATGTGTGGTTCTGTTTCCCTTGGTCGCCAACCCTGGACAGACTGACCGCACGTGCCATCTCATGCAAGACCGCAAAGTAATTCATCTTGAAACAGTGGTATCTGTGTTTAGAGCAGTGATGCTTTCAACAGATGCTGCTTCCCTGTGTCCAGGTCAGAGTTGCTGGTTATCACCTCAGAGACCCCTCTGTTATGACCATCTCTCTCCTGTGTTGTTACTTCATCCATTGCCAGACAGAGAGCTAGAAACTGACAGACGATGAGCAGATGCATGGAAGGACACGTAGTTTGATTTAAAAGATTAAGAACAGGGGTAGGTTTTAGAATAAATCCAGGAACTTGAAGGCACTTTTCCTAACTTTTATTGCCAATGTCAACTGGAAACCTGGAGCTCTCCCAGCTATACGTCATAACTAGGTTTTTGGAGAGAATAATATTGAATAGGAGCTCGACCAACTGTTATGACTGAATCATTACAACATGCATAGCATTTTATATGGGGTCTAAGTCTCAGACAGAATCCAAGATGCCCAAACTTATTTCCAGCACCAGAAGCTACATAAATGATCGGTATCAGAATGTATTAAAATAGCCAATCTAGTGACCGATTACAACATTTTAGTTATCCAAGTCCACATATGGTAATCCATAAATATTACACTCGTTATTATCCATTGGTAAGGTAATTTATGTGATATTGGAGAGTAATATTGATCAGTCTACCATTTAACTAAATTCATTGCGAAGAACCTCTGAATAATAGACATCAGCCAACCATTATTACAGTCAGAGGAAAATGTTATATAAAACAGCCAACATGAAATGTTGCATTTTGACCTTAAGAGGATCCCAAACATGTATGGAACTCAACCAGGTGTTGAAAAGTGATAACCCTGGGCCCAAGCCCCGGGACTAGGATGAGTACACAGTATGGAGGATCTACACAACACTGCCACCTAGCGGCAATCCATATGCTCTACTAATGACAATGAACAGATTTCCTTCTGCTATATCACGAGTCACGACCTCTACATTGAACAATAAAGATTGCTTCAAGGCATATCCCAAACGTGTAATGCATAGTCCAAGCAAGGTGTTTCATGCTTTTTAAAACTTAAAAGAACATTTCTTATTTAAAGATGTTTTATTAATGTATAATACAAGCTTTAAGCAGACCACATTTCATTAGTAATTTTTTTTTTTTTTTTTTTTTTTTTTACATTTATTCATATTGAGCTACATTTCATAGCAGTGACATTTGTTGACAAAACACTAACCAAAGGACACTCACTCAAAAGGAAGGATCCACTGTTTCCATGGAAACCACAGCCACCCAAGACCAATCTGTCCTCCTACTCCGCCACCTGCATCACTAACCTCCAGTTCTCTCTCACACAGTACTTAGGTATTCACAAACACACCCCCATTACTCAAATACACATACTGTCTCAATACACTCAGCCATTTCCCCAACCCATCCACTCACACATTCAACAGTCATGTAAAATTAATACGCATTCCCAGACACACACATATACTAACCCCTGGGACAAAAAGTATTCAATTAACAGGAGTCAGACAATAGAAACTGGACAAACAATACCAATACAAGATAAGATAAAAATTTACATTTTCCAATTGCAATATTAATGATATTACTGAATAATTCCACAATCAAAAGGCAAACAAAAACAGACAGCATCCAAAAAAAGGAGGTAAAATACCACAGTCATAATTTCCTCATATTTTCCAGAGGGGAACGCTCTCCAAGGACTTGCTCCCTCCCACGCCTCTAGCCCTAATGTCCTGTAGGTGGCCATGAAGCCCTCCGACTACAGACACTGCTCTGTTGACTGACTCCTGGTGTTGATTCCCTTATTCCTCACTCAGGTCGGACGGGGAGTGGCGAGGGGGCTTCCCCATGGGACGGGGTGTAGTCTAAAAGGTCATGTTGATCAGAGGTGCAAGCCATACAGAATGACAATGGTCACTCAGAAGCAATCCTTCAATACTTTTAACTCAGTTTTAAAAAGAAAATGTAAAAAGCAAGGCTTCACAACCAAGGGGAGGACATGTGGGAGTTAGCTTAGATTCATCTTCTAGCTAGACCAGTTCATCCTTCATCGTCGAGGTGAGCAAACACATGACAATGCCACACACACACTTAGGTGGTGACACAGCTGACCCTTTACAACTTAAACTCTTCCTATGTGTTGGTCCAAGTCCAGGAACAAACACAAGTGTGGCCCATGTCACAGAGATACACACCACTCCACTGGTCCTATGGCAGACTACACACTCCCTGCTAGTGGGAGGCAACTACTGTACACAGTCTACATCGGGTGAGGAGGATGGCACTTTCTCTAACAGTAGGATACTATTCTGTCTTCCTCTGTTAGATGGGAAGATTAAGACCATACAAAAAAACCTCCAAGACACTTTCAAATAAACAACCCAGTTAAGTGCAATGAGAGGTTTTAACACCATTCTACAAGACCCGTGGGAACCTCCATTTCATTAGCAGAAAGATACTTGGAGGAAACTGTCTGCCGAGTCAATGCAAGCAACCAATGCCACAGTATGGGTCAATGTTCCGAAGTCATAGTTTGCCAGTGTTTCTGTGTGAGGTCTTCAAAACCTGTATGGTCACCCAGCTAGCTCATCCTGGGTAACCACGGAGATTATATGTACAAATTCTTAACATGGTTTTACAACACAGAAGAAAAAGGCAGAATCTGGCAAAAGGGTGAAAAATGTGATTTGAATAAATTGGCACGAAACATAAGAAAAAGAAAAATTCCAAAGCCACCGATTGGGCCAGAGTGCCACAAACACGTGTGACAGATAGCCCGCTGACAGCTCTGACCCATCTTCCTGTGATATCCCCAAATCCATGGTTGACGGGCAGACAGAAGCCGAGCAGGGGTGAATGTGTGTGTGTGTGTGTGTGTGTGTGTGTGTGGGGGGGGGGGGGGGTTAAGGAAGGGGATGATTGTTGTTGTCTTTACAAGAGCAGACAGCAGTTGCTCTCCGTGGTCTTCTCCCTGTTACGCTGACCTACAAAGACCAGGACAACAGAAAGAAACTTGAGGTGAGACAACTGCAATGCGACAACTTGAGAGCAAATATCATAAGACTTTCCGGTTTAAAGGGACAATAAGGCCTAAAGCTGTAGAAATTACAGCTCAACATTGTCCCTGACAGCTAGGTGATGGGATGGGTTGACCTCCTTGAGATGAGAGGAGACAGAAACAGACAGAGAGAGGTTCTCACCATGGGAGTTAGGCTCTGGCAGGGTCTCTCTGGCAACCAAGTGCATGACAGTTGTTCGGCCAGGGGGCAGCTTTAAAGCTTAGAAAACAAAAGGACAGAGACACAATGAACAATTAATATGCAGAATATATAATCACAAGATAATCCTCCTTTAATTACGGTATTACTAAACATGTTCAGAATGCCCATTCTCCATATTTGAAGATTCATTAATTAGAGTGAATGTCCTTAACTGTGGCACGGGTAAACCTCTAGAGTCTAAGGCCACCGTTGACGGATGCGGTGGATTGAGACACAGCCCATGCAAAATACCAAATATATCTTACTTAAAACAGTTGGATGTTTTTATTATGCTAATTTGATGTCCACGGGGGCACAGACATCGACTCTAGCTTTTTCAAAAAACATACTGAATTTCAAAGGATACAGGTCATTCAATCACAGTATTCACTAGTGAATTTCAGACATGTAGAATGGTGGTGTGTGATTGTATAAGAGGGTCCATCCAGTACCTCCCAGGGTGACGTTGCCATGCAGGAACCGTCCCTGGAAGATGAGGCGTAGGATGCTGGCGCTGCTCACCTGCTCCTCCTCCCATCCTGATGGAGCAATGAGACAACATTACAGCAACACTCAGAAGCACAGGGGGAAAGGTCTATCACTAGCGCCAGACATTCAGACAGACACTTCCTGCAGTGGTTGAACCCACACAAACATTACTGCCATCATCAGGGGTTTGAAGATGGAATAAAGTGTTATGACACAAGGCATTGTCCAACACAGCTGTTCCTAGAATAACAGTAAAGGACTTCAAAGTGGTCTTCATGACAAGAAACAGAAGTATGCCCATTATAGTTTCTAAATCAGACACAGAAAGAATAATTCAGAAAGTTGAAGTGACCTGATTAATTCTGCAATACAACTCAATATACAGTGGGGGAAAAAAGTATTTAGTCAGCCACCAATTGTTTAAGTTCTCCCACTTAATTTTCATCATAGGTACACATCAACTATGACAGACAAATTGAGATTTTTTTCTCTCCAGAAAATCACATTGTAGGATTTTTAATGAATTTATTTGCAAATTATGGTGGAAAATAAGTATTTGGTCACCTACAAACAAGCAAGATTTCTGGCTCTCACAGACCTGTAACTTCTTCTTTAAGAGGCTCCTCTGTCCTCCACTCGTTACCTGTATTAATGGCACCTGTTTGAACTTGTTATCAGTATAAAAATACACCTGTCCACAACCTCAAACAGTCACACTCCAAACTCCACTATGGACAAGACCAAAGAGCTGTCAAAGGACACCAGAAACAAAATTGTAGACCTGCACCAGGCTGGGAAGACTGAATCTGCAATAGGTAAGCGGCTTGGTTTGAAGAAATCAACTGTGGGAGCAATTATTAGGAAATGGAAGACATACAAGACCACTGATAATCTCCCTCGATCTGGGGCTCCACGCAAGATCTCACCCCGTGGGGTCAAAATGATCACAAGAACGGTGAGCAAAAATCCCAGAACCACACGGGGGGACCTAGTGAATGACCTGCAGAGAGCTGGGACCAAAGTAACACAGCCTACCATCAGTAACACACTACGCCGCCAGGGACTCAAATCCTGCAGTGCCAGACGTGTCCCCCTGCTTAAGCCAGTACATGTCCAGGCCCGTCTGAAGTTTGCTAGAGCGCATTTGGATGATCCAGAAGAGGATTGGGAGAATGTCATATGGTCAGATGAAACCAAAATAGAACTTTTTGGTAAACACTCAACTCGTCGTGTTTGGAGGACAAAGAATGCTGAGTTGCATCCAAAGAACACCATACCTACTGTGAAGCATGGGGGTGGAAACATCATGCTTTGGGGCTGTTTTTCTGCAAAGGGACCAGGATGACTGATCCGTGTAAAGGAAAGAATGAATGGGGCCATGTATCGTGAGATTTTGAGTGAAAACCTCCTTCCATCAGCAAGGGCATTGAAGATTAAACGTGGCTGGGTCTTTCAGCATGACAATGATCCCAAACACACCACCCGGGCAACGAAGGAGTGGCTTCGTAAGAAGCATTTCAAGGTCCTGGAGTGGCCTAGCCAGTCTCCAGATCTCAACCCCATAGAAAATCTTTGGAGGGAGTTGAAAGTCCGTGTTGCCCAGTGACAGCCCCAAAACATCACTGCTCTAGAGGAGATCTGCATGGAGGAATGGGCCAAAATACCAGCAAGTGTGTGAAAACCTTGTGAAGACTTACATAAAACGTTTGACCTGTGTCATTGCCAACAAAGGGTATATAACAAAGTATTGAGAAACTTTTGTTATTGACCAAATACTTATTTTCCACCATCATTTGCAAATAAATTCATTAAAAATCCTACAATGTGATTTTCTGGATTTTTTTCTCTCATTTTGTCTGTCATAGTTGACGTGTACCTATGATGAAAATTACAAGCCTCTCATCTTTTTAAGTGGGAGAACTTGCACAATTGGTGGCTGACTAAATACTTTTTTCCCCCACTGTAAAACAAGACAGTGACGTGGTTGTTTCCTGGTCCACCTCCCAACATGCACAAAAACTCACCCAAGGGCCAGTTATCAAAGACGTGCTTGGCGATGTCCATGGCCGAGTCGTTGGGGGAGAAGATGAAGTCTTGTGTCTTCCCACTGACCAGGATAAGACGCAGGTTCACCTGGAATGGCCCAAACAAAACATCTTATTAATCCTACACATGCTCCACAGAAATCCCACAAAATTCCAGTATAATAAAGTCTACATTTCCGCCCCATCGAGCAATGAGAAGCATGTAGCTTAGCCTAATCACATGGAATCCTTCCGTTTTCTCTCACCTCGAATGACATGAGATGACCTTCGGAAGCCTGCACCGAAATTGGCATTCCTATCTAATTAGATTTCTCTGGTGCAGATCTCAGCCCCTTTCACTGGGCTGCTTCCTTCAGAGAGGACTGAGCTCGTTGTGTAGTGAGCCCCTATAGTAGGACAAGGCATAGATAAGGGTGGAGCTGGGGGGTGATGGGGTGGAGGGGGGAGAACAGTGGGCCTTCAGTGGCTTGAGGCAGGGAGCAGCTCCTCTCTCCGGGCTGTCAGCCTAATGTGATAACCCCAGGTGTCCCAGACAGCCCTGGGCCACATTATCACATTTATATTGCCAATGCGTAACCCTGGGGGGTAGTGGTGTATGTACCCACCCAGTCCACTAAATGAACCCATCGAAAAAATTTTTGGGTGAAAATGTGTTTGACATGATATTACCCTAATCGTACTAGAACCTTATGACATGTTTCCCTAAAGCCTTAAAAAGGCTCCTAAAACAAACAGAGACCATTTCATCTTTATTAGTCATTTACAGAATCCAAAAGGAAGGTAGTGGTTTACTTTTTAGGAGACTTGGGTAATTGCATTTTTTTTAATTCTTGGATTTCAAATCGCTCCTTGGTTTAACGATTACATCATCCACATGCTGTGTGCAAAGTTTGGCTGGGAATAAACGCTCTCATTGAAAACCAAACTGAGAAAGGGGAGGACAAATGAACAAGGTAAGGCAGTTGGTCCACTGAATTGAGTCAAATCCCAAATGCCACCGAGAATAATGAATCAAATGATGAATAAAACCACCAACTGATTATTTCTGAGAAATCATTGTACATATAAGTCACATGAAAATTGAAATCCTATAGGGCAATATGAAAAATAACAATTGCACATTAAGTAGAATGAGGTAGTGCAACCCTGAGGTTTCCTGTCAGATGCTCCATGTAGGCTATGTAAATGGCATCTATTACCAACTCATCAATTCTACACTCATAAAACATCCGCTACCAGTAAGTAGTCTTAAGCATACACAGCAGCTCCTGCACAGGAGGAGACCCAGGCTCAAAGCCTTCCCTCCTGTGGTGGCAGCAGCCCCAGGTCAGAACCTCTGGTAGGGAAAAAAGCTCGGAAGCATCATTATGGCCGGAAGCCACACGGTCTCCACCTCGCCATCAGCTGACAGATTGTAACACGCTGCACACACACAACCACTGCCTCACGTAAATAAATAATTCACCAAAGTAGATATTGGTATTCCACCAGAATCCAACAAATGGCTGGGAAATCATGGCGTTCCAACCATTAGGCCTACCAACACTATTATAGTTTGGAGACCAATATCAAAGTTCCATTAACAGATATTAAAATGTGTTCATTTAACCCTAAACTTTCTTCGTTGGTAATCAGGGAAGCCAGAACCAAGTGTGTGCCACCAGGTGTGATGTCTGGATTGTCCTACACTGATCCGTTTACAAACACGCCAACCCCCCTAAGCAGAGGAAGTCCCATTCCCTCCCCCCTAAGAACTGCATAACCTCTCCGTGTGTGGTTACATACCCATGTCATCATTAACAAGCTTTACCCCCCCCCGTCCCTTTTATCTGCAACCAAACAAAACTAGAATCTGCCCAGTCGCCCTTAGTGAGAATTTTTTGTTTTTGTTTTGTTATCCATCAAGGATATCCTGTTAAGACTAGCCAATCAAGAGACAAACAAACATGCACTTCAAAAACTCAGATTTGAAGTAAGATAAAAGGTCAGCAACATGTGTGCATTGAGAACAGAAATGTGACAATGAGGGATTCTACCAAATACACAAAAGTAGACAGACTCCAAAACACCACAAGCTGGCATCAGTACAATAGCACAGGTAGTCCAGAGTAGCCTACTAGCTTTTGCATTGATTTGAGATTGTGATTTCAATTTGACTGATTCTCCTCAGTTCCTAGATACAATCTCCTCTCCATTCCTGCCTTAACACAACAGTGCCATGGACAAAAAAATAAATAAATTGTAAAGTGGTTATCCCACTGGCTATAAGGTGAATGCACCAATTTGTAAGTCGCTCTGGATAAGAGCGTCTGCTAAATGACGTAAATGTAAATGGTCTTAACACCGGTCATATGGGTTTGTTTGGAGATTAACAATATCCAAGGGGGTAGAGCTGTGATTTGGGGATCGGAAACAAATCAGTTAAAAGGTCCAATGCAGCCATTTATATCTCAATATCAAATCATTTCTGGGTAACAATTAAGGAGCTTGCTGTGATTGTTTTGAATGTAAAAAAATGGTCAAAAATAAACTAAAATAGCTTCTTAGCAAAGGACAATTTCTCAAGCAAGAAATTCGCTAGAACTGTCTGGGAATGTTTTGAGTGGAGGGGGGAAAACTGAAAATTAGCTGTTATCGGCAGAGAGGTTTGGAACTCGATTGATCTATTAACTAATTTACTGCATGGTGACGTCACCATGGAAGGCCAAAACTCCCTCCCACCGAAACATGCTGACATTTCAGGCAGTCTGAAAAACAGCTATTACACTAAAAGTGCATTATAATTTTCACAGTATTATTCCAACCTCAGTGTGGAAATGTTTATAAAACAGAGGAAAATCACGTTTGACTGCACTGGGCCTTTAAGGCTCACCTCTACAAAAAATGTGGGGCAATCTCAAAATGTAGTTTGACAGATGGTGATTACAGAAACAGCAGCTGTTTGATTAATCCCTGATCCTAAACTAGCCTCCAAATACATTCTGACATGGAAAACATCACATGCACTGTAACCATGTCAATATTAGACACGCACAGCATTGGATCTTATGCAGTAACTAAGGATTGTGTTGGGTTGCAATGAATACTCACCATATCGACATCCCTTTGAGTTGTCATGGCTCTGAAGCAGCTCTGAACAGAGCCGACTGGGCAGTTAGTGTTGCGCTTTGCTGGAGGAGACTGGGCCAAACCCCTGGCACAAAGAACACTGTGTGCGTTTCACTACTCTCTCACCCACCCCCTCCCTTCTCTGATTTCCACAGCCTGGCACCAACTCAAGCCCTCTGACCAACGTGAAACATAAATTGGTTACAAGATTCGCCTGTTGATGTGATATCTGCGAACGACGGTGGCTAGGTAGCAAGGTGTCAAGCTTATTTGACCAATCAACCACTGCCTAGCAATCATACACTGTCAGACAGTCGGAAGCTATTTAGCTAGATAGCATTTGGCTACACATTAGCTAGTTAGCTAGCTAGCTTCAGTAGCTTGCCAACACTAATAACGTTACTTAGCTATCAACAACTACACAAACACAACAGATGGCTATAAACTCGTTGCTTTAACCTCAACGACAGATCAACTCAAATCCGTACTGCCTGACAATATAACTAACGCTAGCTTGTAACTAGTAGCATGGTTAGCCAGCAAGGAGATAACTAGCTAACGTTACTTCGGGTGTTGTGGTAATTTACAAGGAAGGTAACTTATGTAGCTACCTGGCTAAAATCTAACTATCTGGCTAACTAAGGTGAAAATATCTGACTGCGGCAGAAAATAGGAACTGTGGGAACACAGAAAAGACAACCCGCGATATCTCTACCGTTAATCTTACAACAACAAAAAACTCAAATCTCTAAAGACCTTACCGGTATAAAACAAATACTTAAATATTCAAGCATCCCAATGGTTAAACGTATCCCATGTTTGAGTGTTTCTTTGCGTCAAATAACATCGAACCTAGCTGCTGCTTGTCGAAGAATAATGGCAGGACATTTAAAGACACCGGAAATCAGCTGTTTGTCAACATAGGAAACAAAGTACTTCTGGGAGTTGCAGTCTTGCCATAAGATTCCATTTTGATTGAACAAGTGATGAAAGTTGGACACCGAGGCAATCAACATAAATTGGGATAATTTGACATTTGTTTCAAGCCACCTTGTAATGAAAGCCTGGAAAAAATAACATTCAATACAAGTCACACAAGACAGAAATCAGTTTTCATTTAGGATTATTCAAATTTACTTTTAAAAAAAACATTGATCTATATACAGTAATTTCACTTGACACATTTACAGATATAAAACATAGTATAACAGTACATGTTCTCATCAGTAAGAGTACAAATGGACATGAAACAGTTAGTACAACATAATTGTTATTTTCTCAAATACTGTTCTGATGACCTCAAGGTTGTTTGTAAACATCCTAGTATTGTAACTCACTTCACAAAACCTTGTATGGAGACACTTACATACTGTGCAAGGCTTTGCTTTGCAACATGATGCTGTAACAAGCTTTGAGCCCTCTGGAACCATTAAAATGGTTAAAGAACTGCAAACAAAAAATTTCCCCACATTGTAGACTTTTACTCACAGCTATTTGTAGTGTGCTTTCTAGACCATTTTTCCACAAGACTGGCCAGTCTTGATCTTAATATGAAGGGACCTCAACTGTAATTGATAATCTATCTGTGATATGACCATTTCTACATCTCGTAAACAGGCATATAATACAAATAACAGTTACATACCCTTGAAGTGAGCAAATTAATTTTGAGGCACATAGTTAAACAGCAAAAACAGTAACAAGTTGATTTGAACACCACCACAGCAAAGTTTCTAGAAACATAATTGGACTGAGGCTGGTGGGCTTTTCAGTTCATGTTATTACTACATTCAGTTAGACACTCAGTAGACTTAAGAGATTAAAACCCAGGCCCATCTTTCAATGACACAATTAGGACAATTATATACAAACAGTTATGTACAAAATTATACATGGAATCAATCATGTAAGTAACATGTACCACGAGATTAAGACCTTAAAACAGGTACGAAACCTATAAGACTTTTCATACTAGGCTAATGTATTGTAATCCTTTCTCTGTCTTTCAGTAGTATCAGTTTTGGGCTCCAAGGAATATCAGCATTTTTCTTCAGTGTACCTTCCTATAGAGTTTGTCAATCATCATGGTACAAAAATAAGTTATTTCTCTCGTCACATAATCTCTACCTTTAATAGCATAACTTTAAATTGAATAATTATTTGGGCAGCTCTTACAATAATTAACAAATATAACATTCATATCTATGTATCTGTATAAATATGAAAACAACATTCAATTAATTATTGTAAATTATCTATTCAAATTGCTAAATGCTTCAAAAATTAGAAATATTACCTGCTTTTGGGTAAGGACCGTCAAGTTTTACTAAATTAAATTTCATTGTCAAGCGTCTCTCTATAGTGCAGACAGTGAGTTCTGCGGTGGTTTGACCCTCTCCTTGGTATTGCCTGTCCCCAAAGAACACAAATAATACCATAGTAATTGACCTACATGGACAGGAGGACACACGACACTACATACCCTGTCGATGTGCTTACTGTACCCAGCAGTAACTCACAGGGCAAAGACAGTAGAGATCAAACACCATTTTTGGAAAATGGCTGAATTCAGGTAGAAACAACCAGGCACTAGAATAACACATTAAAATGGAGGAACTCTGTTTCCTTGCCATTTGTACCACCTAAATGACATATAAAAAAATTAAAAATAAACCTTAAAACATTTAGATTGCAGAAATTTGTCAAGTTCATTTTGATAGAGTATACATTGAGTGTACAAAACGTTAAGAACACCTTCCTAATATTGAGTCGCATGCACCCCTCCCTCCCTCCCTCCCTCCCTTTTGCCCTCAGAACAGCCTCAATTAGTCGGGGCATGGACTCTACAAGGTGTCGAAAACATTCCACAGGGATGCTGGCCCATGTTGACTCCAATGCTACCCACAGTTGTGTCAAGTTGGCTGGATGTCCTATGGGTGGTGGATCATTCTTGATACACACAGGAACCTGTTGAGCGTGAAGCAGTGTCGCAGTTCTTGACACAATCCTGTGTGCCTGGCACCTACTACCATAACCTGTTCAAAGGCACTTAAATCTTCTGTCTTGCCCATTCACCCTCTGAATGGCACACATACACAATCCATGTCTCAATTGTCTCAAGTCTTAAAAATCCTTCTTTAACCCGTCTCCTCCCCTTCATCTACACTGATTGAAGTGGATTTAACAAGTGACATCAATAAGAGACCATAGCTTTCACCTGGTCAGTCTATGTCATGGAAAGCGCAGGTGTTCTTAGTGTTTTGTACAATCAGTGTATATCTCAGTGCACATACATCCAAAATCTATTTAGCATGCGAGGTCCTCTCTACATTATAGGAATGACCGAATAACAGAGAGGAGAAGTTAAGACAGTCGGATGTAGCACAATGCCCAGACAGTTGAAAATGAACGCGATGAGAATGTGCACCTGTTCGTCTTGCATGGTATGCCGTTGGGGCGTACACCATCTATTCCACCACTATTCTCCTCTAAGGTGTCATCCCTTCCACCTCACTGTCATCCTCTGCCAGATAGATGGGACTCTTTGATCGGAGGACTGGCTCAAATTTACCGCGGTTGGGTGTGGCCTCTGAACTGTTCTTAATCCCATAACCAAAGTAGATGAGAAAACCTAGGAGAAAGAGAAGGAAGAAAAACTGATTTAAACAGTGATAAACTACAGCAGGTCAAAGGTGAACCTCACTGACACACTGTACTTGCGTAACACAAAGTTGAGTAAAAATACAGATCGACACAAGACCAAGAGGCAAAGCAATAATAGGGGGTGGGGATCTCACTAACCAATAGCCATCCACACTGCAAAGCGACACCACGTTGGCCCATCCAGCTGCATCATGAGGTAAATGTTGACAAAGATACTGACCAATGGCAGCACTGGGAGTAGGGGTACCTGAGGGGATTCAAAAAAGTTTGTTTATTTTCTACATGAACCACAATTAGCACACACTGGACATAATCAAGTCTAACAAGTACAACAATGTTTATTTCATTTTTTTAAGCTAAGAGCTGATGATTCAATGAAACAAATACAGACAGACAGTGGTTTCTAGGAGAATACGGAAACCTACAGTAAATAGGAAATGGTTTCTCAGGATGAATGAAACAACAAACATGAAATGAGTCATGTGATTGACAACTCCCATCATACCTTAAAGGTGAGTGCCTGTCTGCTCGGGGGCTGTCTCCAGATGATGGCCACACACAGGAAAGAGAGGAAGGCCAGTATCGCACATATGGTGGCCCACACGGGGTGGCCACTCACCACCTCTGCCCCCCACACAGCCAGCACTACGCACAGCAACGTGAACACCACAGCTACAGAGAAAAGAGAGATTGTGAACTTTAGCATGTATAGTGGAATCTTAAGTGTACTTTACAGTTCTTGGTAATAAATCATTTCAATGCATTCTCTCATTTGTATTATCAGACAGCTGCTTCCATTTGTAACCAGTATGCCAAACGTATCAAGAAAGGCTCACTTAAATATGTGTAGCTATTCTGGTAAACCCAAAGCAGCTTTAAACACCATCAACACTTCACCCTGACAAAAGAGGGAGACTCACAAATGACAGCGGAAGTGATGTACACTATGAATCCGGAGGTCTTGGTGGGGACGTCACAGCTGGGCACCAGCAGCATCTTGAGGGTGAACCTCTCCCTGAGGGGCCTGGTCTCCCCCTCACCCTCCTGGCCAAACTCATCCCCACTGTCCCCGTCTGCCATGGTTGCCCTCTGCAGACCCACCAGCTCCACCAGCTTCTCACTAGCACCGCTGACGCCCAGGGTGCCCGGCTGGTACCTGAGAAAAATACACATAAACAGTCAACCCTACGTTGACTGAAAACATGACTCTTTTTAGCCAATATCCTCTGCCCTAACCTGAGGATAAGCACACACGCAGCCACTAGTGTATATGCCAGGAGAGTTCCTATCGACATCAGGTCCACCAGGGCTGCCAGATCAAACAGGAACGCCATCAGGGCTGCAGAGAGAAAGAATCCATTTCAATTCTAAGCAGCATAGAGTAGCTGCTAAACAGTTGACAGAAAACTAAGCGTTGGTGCACGAAGGAGATACTGAGTTAAGCAAGGGCTATGCTTACCTGCTACAATACCCGACACGATGGTGGCTAACAGGGGGGTCTTGGTTTTGATGTTCATCTTTGACAGGAAGCGGAAGAGCAGGCCGTCCTCAGCCATTGCATAGATTACACGGGGCATGGGGAACATTGAGCCCAGTAAACTAGACAGAGAAAAGAGAGAGGGGACTCAGACACAGGCATCACCGTCACACAGAGGTCAGCCATGTCTCTGGACAGTCCACAAACACTGACTGGCCATCAACATTTAACACAAGAAACAAAAAAGTTTGGTTCATATATTCCACATCATAATTGGTTGCAGGCAAATAACAACAAACAACAAAAAAGGAACTGAAAGAATCGTACATGAAATGAAACATCTGTTCAGACCCAAAAATAAATATCAAACAAAAAAATATCCTGCCATCTGGGTGCCTTTCTACGTTTGCTAGACGTGCACACAAGGCCATGAGAAGTCTCTATGGGAAACTGTCTGTGCCAGTCACCTGGTGGACAGGGCACAGAGGGAGCCCACAGCCACGATGTAGCGGGCAGGGTCCCAGTGCACATAGCTGAAGGCCTCTGGCAGCGGGCTCTCTCTGTTTAGCAGGTAATAGGGCATCATGAGGGTGAGGGCCGCAGACACCCCGAAGTATGCGAAGAAACAGATGAGCAGAGAGGCCACGATACCGATGGGGATGGAACGCATAGGGTTCTTGGCCTCTTCGCCTGTGAAGATAGATAGAGATGGTTTAAATTTGACAGTCGTCAACCACAGAAAACATACACTGGTGTCAAGAGAAGAGAAAATGGCCTACTTGTTGTTGCGATGCAGTCGAACCCCACAAAGGCGTAGAAGCAGGTTGCTGCCCCAGACAGGACTCCACTGAAGCCGAATGGAGCAAAACCCCCGGTGCCAAACTTCTCTTTAATGATCCTGGAGAAAGAAAGAGAGCAGGGGACTGGTTTTGCAGTAGCCTGCAAAATACCGAAAAATGCCCAAGAGAAAGAGTAATCGTTTCATATTTAGTCTTCAAGAAGAGAACTGGTACCTCTGATGGCTGATGTCTGTAAAAGCTTTGATCTATTGTTGCAAACAGACTTTCGTACCCTCTCAATTACTGCATAGGGCTTATTTTAAAACATAAAACACCATTGCTGCCTTATAAAGTATTCCTTCTGAGCTCCCCAGCCCATCTGTCTGTTGGTGACTCACTCTGGATCAGTGATGTTGGTTGTGTTGACGAAGTCCTCCACAGTAAGGCTCCAGTTGGCACAGTCTCCCTTCACCAGGCCTGAGATGATGACGAAGCCCAGCACCACCAGGTTGACCCCCGTGAAGATCTTGTTCACCAGGGCCGACTCGCTCACGCCAAACGCCAGCAGGCCTGTGTGGGTGTTAGCAAAGTGTCAGAGCCACAGACGTGGGCAGCGACCAAGCACCGCCAATCACAATGCTGCACTGAATGGGCACTCTGCCCATGCTCTAGGGCAGCAATGAAGAGGCAGCCATAGAGAACCCTCTTTAGTAGCTGTAGTTTCGCTGAGGGTGTGTATAATGTTTTCAAATGTGTTCAGAGTTATGTTAATGAGATGAGAGCCTTACCACTGAGCAGCAAGATCAGGATGAAGGCAAAGAGGTCTGGGTATTCAGCAAGAATCTTCCCAGGGACCTTGATGGACATGGAGGCTCTGAAGAAGTCTGAGATCTTCTGTTCAACCAGGTTGTCAAAGGTGGAGCTCCAGGCCCGAGCAACACTGGCTGTGCCTGAAAGAGAGGGAGAAGAAGAGAAAGAGAGAGAGAGGAAGAGACTTACAATGAGAGAGGTTGGAGTCATACTTTCAAGGGCCCTTCTGTCACAAGGCAATCCTTCTGAAGGACCAGGCACTTGATCTGCCTGTAAAACCTCTTCAGCTCACGTCCTCGTCAGAATCTTATTCATTCAGTCTAATTATTAAGCTACTCAGAATTGCTGATTATCTCAAGTGACTGGCTAGGTATAGCAGAAAATATCACTGCTGTTTAAGCAGCTTGGAGTTGTGTGCAGTCACATACATTTATGTTATCCTTGCACCTCATATCCTGCTTTTACCTTTAAACGTGTTTCTTGCAATTTTACACAAAAATAGATTAAACATTTCCTGCCCATTTTTGAATCACTTTGCTTCTTAATTTCAAATCCTTCATTTTTACTAACCCACTTCTGACTCACCTATGACATAGGAGAGGATGAGGTTCCAGCCAGTGACGAAGGCCCAGATTTCCCCCACAGTCACATAGCTGTATATGTAGGCTGAACCAGTCTTGGGCACACGGGCACCAAACTCAGCATAACACAGACCAGCAAGGACGGAGGAGAGCGCTGCGATGAGGAAGCAGAGCACGATGGCTGGGCCGGCCTTCTCCCTGGCCACCTCTCCAGCCAGCACATAGACGCCAGCCCCCAGAGTGGCGCCCACCCCCAGGGCAATAAGGTCCAGCGTGGTCAGGCAGCGGGCAAAGTGGCTCTCTTCCTGGTTACAGTCCAGCGCCCGTCGCCGGAGCAGCATCTTACCGAAGGACGCTAGCTTCTCAGCCATTATAGGACAGTAGGTCACCAAGTCAAGAGGAGGAGATTATGGATCTTCTTACAGCCAACTGAGGAAGAGGAGAATCTACTGTCAAATGAGAGCGGGAGTGGTTTGGAGGGACAAGCCCAGACACAACAATCATTATTTTGTAATCAACTACTTTCTCAGAAGCGAGATATGATATAATCAAATGGGGAGTGAAATGTCAGTTAGAAAAACAAAGCAATTTGCCTCTTCACACGAAATAATGTGTCATTCCATGTAGAGTAGATGCCACACTATCATTATTCTCTGAAGGGTCGTTCTGTTTGATTTCAGTCATTTTTGACCGCACCCCTTTCGATTTGAACAAAACTTTGTATACATATTTGCCCATGGTAGAAGTGGTCAAAAAGTGACTTTGTGGACATGAATGACAAAACATTTAGGAGATAGATGTGCTCAAAGTTGACCAATTTCGCATACCCCGCCCTACCATAAGACATCCATGTCTTCATCACTGGATAAGATAAACAGTTGAGTTTGATATCATTAAAAAGCTTAACTGGGTTGTCAAACTTTTGTAATTTCTTGAAGAAACTTGTTTTATTAAATATAAATTATTAAAATGTTTTACCTTTAATGTCAATGATCTAAAAACACGTAAAGGCAGATTTTTTTTCAAATGTTGTAGGTTAGACCATATTTTACATAATCTGAGGTTTGTGTTGTGCCCGCCATCGGTTGAAGTAAGCACAACATCACCACCAACTATGCAGTTCTTCTCTGCAATCTCAACATCAGGGCAAGATGTGGCAACGCAAGTCAAGGTCTCTGGTACACACACACACACTCATTCATTCACATAGAACTAATCACACAAGGGGACACAGAGTGCAGGTTGGCCCAAGGACAAGTGCAACATCACAGCGATATGCATCCTTCGTCAATCCCAAATCTCTCTGCCGATCTCACACTGACACTAGGTTAACAGTGCTGGGCAATTCCACGTTAACAGAATTGCGCTGAGACTCACATTTTTCACTTAAAATGTATGTCAAACAAAAACCATTGATTTCAAAGTTAAACAAACCATACAACTCTATACACAATGACTACTTTTAACAATTTACACCGAACAGTTTACAGAAACACATTTACTGGAAGAACTGTGCAGATGCAAGGTTTGGTAACAACATGTCGGTAAAATCTCCCTCAGTTTTTTGTGAACACGTTTTCCAAGAACGTTATTAAATATCTGCTCTGAATTAAGATTCAAAGATGTCTGCCAAAAGAATGGGGTGTCAGGTATGACATGGCACCTTGGCTCTGAAAAAATCTATTTGGCTTATTTTGGAACTACAGTAAGTGAAGTGGACTTACACCCGGTAACAGAATTGCGGTAACGGAATTTCATCATGGGTCACAGATCTGTACTACATAGAAATACATAATTATGGATATGAATGTCATTATCTTCATGGTGATGTATCCTAAAGTGGTACACAAAGGTAGAAATATGCAATATCCTCCTTTGCATATTTGGGTATTATTCTACACACTGGCTATTATTTTAACGAGCTCCACTACCAAACAAGACCACATTTGGTTGGTCCGGACCAAATCTGAAGCAAATCATATTTGTCTATGTTTCACAACCTGATATCAGTAAAACACAAACTAATTGATATGTCTACCATTACTTGTTACTTCTGTGAACATTCATTATCCTTCCTCCTCATGAGGGAGAGAAATTAGAAAATATATTTTAAAAAGATTCTCCTGTTTTGTATAGTAGTTCTGAAAGTTGCGCTCACGAGCCAAAAGTGGTCCCTGAAAATTCTTACTACGTCACATATGTGAAGATACGTGCACCACGTCATTGTGTGTGCATCTTGCTAGTCTTTGCTGAAATGGCGAGGGGCTGAACTTCCAGAAAACAAGTTGATTTCAAACTAGGGATTTTGTGGCTAATTTAGGTAATTCTGCTCATAGATTATGCATGTATGAAATACACCGACAAATCCAGCCTAAAGCGGAAGGTTTAAAAAAGACTTAGTAGTCGCCAAAGTTCCGGAGCATGTCTAATGATGTGGGTTTTTGGTAACGGAATTTCAAGGCACAAGACAAGATTTCTTGAACTTACAGAAGGCTGTTTTTTTGTTTTCCTAAACTAAATATAAAAGTGTTGATATTAGTTGGCAGGGGTCTTTACTTCAACATTGTGTTTTGGTGTATTTCTAATACCTTTTAAGACTTTTTCTGGTAGATGTTTTCTAAGACCCCTTTTCCATCTGTTTGACAAGAAATCAAAGCGTTTGCATATTCCATATTTTTAGGATGGAAAATGGTTGAAAAATGTATACATGCCTTAATTTCTCAAAAATATAGACTCTTAGCTTTCATTTGACATGCTCCTATGAACTTCACATGTTGGTGCTCGTGGGTCCTTTTACATGGAAATTACCTGCTACTAAAAGGCAGTCTGGCTGAATAGTGAATAATGGCAGGCAGCCATTTAGGCCCCGACCATTGGCTGGTAGCCTCCCGAGGAAAGAAAGCCCTGCAGTAGTGCATAGCGCTGACCAGTACCCTGACCTTGGCAGAGACCGTAGTGAATCTGAAAGACTGGCTAAGGGAGGGAGTCAAGAACCCCATTCATTTGCAGCCAGAAAAACTAAAATAGGAGACTGAAGAAAATAAATGAAAAGAGAACAGGGAGAAAGGGGGGAATAGAAGGAATGGCAGCGTAGTTGGCAAAGAAAGCATGGGACAGAGAGGAGAATGGAAAAACCTGATGAACGGCCTCTAACTTGACACACCAGACCGATTACATTTTTAAGCAACAGACAGATGATCCCAATACAAAGCTGGGTAAGAAAACTAGAAATCGCCCTTTCCAACTGTGTCCAAAAAAGCAACAGGAAATAATTGCTGTCCAAGCCCACTGTGTGGGCGCCATGGATGGACCTAATAAAGCTCTCCTGTCTGGCAATGGGTCCAGGTCGAAGGGTTGATCCTGGCACACACACCGGAGATGCCATGCAAGTTTAATCAGGCCATGTCTGGGCAACACACCTCATCAGGAGGGAGAGAGCGTCCATGTCAACTCTGTTTGGCTGACAGGAGACAACGTCTACAAGGGACACAGGCGACTACATTGCCTACACCCAGATCTCATACCCCTGTGGTCCTTGTTCTCAATCTGTAGTGTACACACTATAGGCCAGGGATATTCAACTGGCAGCCCGCAGGCCAGATCCGGCCCGTTTATTCATTTATACTGGACCTTTGATCAATTCTGAACATTAATAAAAGATCCGGGGAAAAAATCCCTGCCCAAATCTGACATTCAGTGCCAAAATGACAAGCACTAAGGTGGTTGTCTATAGTGTGGTTTCTAGTGCCTATGTGGCATGTTAATTCTTTTTTCTTCATACGAATTTGTCTCTAGCGTTTGAACGGTTTAAGCTATGACCCCATTCCTTAAAGCTACAACTCTCAGGAACACGTACATGCCTTCCATTTCCCTCTCTGATGCTCACAAGGACTCGTTAAAAGGGGATGACAAAAAACACCTAATGACTGAGAAAAATGAATTCAAAGCATACTTCCTTCAGCCTGGAATTTGGCAATACCTGATTTGACATATCTGTCTTATTTATTGAGATGCTTAGTTAAGATTTTAAAATGACCTAATTAATAATATAATAACAATAATAATATGCCATTTAGCAGACGCTTTTATCCAAAGCGACTTACAGTCATGCGTGCATAAATTTTTGTGTATGGGTGGTCCCGGGGATCGAACCCACTACCCTGGCGTTACAAGCACCGTGCTCTACCAGCTGAGCTACAGAAGCTATTAATAATTGTTTAAATAAAACAAAAATAATGGTGAGTGAGCGTTTCACCTTTTCCTTTCAATGTTGATAAATTGTTTTGGTTGCACCTCGACTCACATGTTTTTATTTTATTTTATTTTTTTACATCTGTCCCCCGTAAGAATATGTTGAATAGCCCTCATATAGGCTTTGAGTTCAACAAATAGGCATCTCAGTCACCAGTTACTACACCCACGGCACTTACCATTTCCTAACCATTTGACCAGTAACATATTGTTGACTTTAGGATGATAAAGATACAGTCTACCTGGCTGCATGTTTTCCTCTACTAGGCTCAGTAGGCTGACATTCTAGCCAGGCAAAGTTGAGAAAATCCAGCCTCTGGAATAACAACTATATCAAGCACAGTTGGCCTTTCTCCTCCATTAAGAGGATAATCAACAGTGTTACATAAGCCTGCTAACCTTCTTAGAGGTGAACAAATAATTAGTCATGATTATGTTTGTGTAGCCTAGCATGACCATGGTGAAATGTGTGGCCTAAACTGCACCACAAAGTATTTGCAATATGATGTGGGAAATGAAGTAATGGCATGTTCTGGTCATTTATAAGAAGCATTAAGAATAGAACTGTAAAGAGGGCCTAAAAAGTTAACTTTTTGGTCCACCTGCCACTGTGTAATAAAACAAATGAGCATGCTTTGTAATGTTTCTAAAACAATAAATGTATTACTAGTTAGAAATAAATGTGGTATATTGTTTAATTTAATATAATTTTTTGTGAGAATCACAGATGAGACAAATTTTCACCTGCCCCTTTAACGGCAGGAGGTTACAGTCACAGATAGAACAATGAGACAGATATTTCACTGGATGTACAAATGTGAAGCATCCGATTGGCTACCAAAGATGGTAGTGAGTGGAAAGCCCTGTGGCCGGCAGTGGGAGAAGATGGAACGAGATGGATTTTGGCCCACATTCTGCTAATTTTGTCATCGATGAAACATTTGATCTCAATACAGTTTTCTGTTCCCAAAACTAAAATATGTTACGAACAGAGTGGACAACGTTTTGTAGACTTTACCCTTTGCCAAAGTTTCAAAAATGTTTGTTGTTTAGGAGTGCAAAGTCAAATTTAGTTATTGCACACGCACTCTTCAGAGTAGGCGTTCCCTAACCAAAATAT